AAAATCAATAAAATATATTTAAAAAATAAAAAATAAAAATAAAAATAGTTGTGTTGCTGGAGAAGGGATAATAGATGGACTGGTCAGGGGAAGTGACCCCAAGTCACAAAGGAAAAATGTGCCCACTCTGAGGAGGACACTGAACCCCAGAGACAAGTAGGGTGGGACCAGCATTCATCGGCTCCCATTATGGACACTGAGCCCAGAGAGGCACAGTCGCTTACCCAGGGTCACACAGCTAAGTCAACCCAAGTCCACCCTGAGCCCAAACATACCCTGCCCCAGGCCAGGGCTGGTGAAGTGGGAGGGAAGGGGTGCTCTCCTACCTGATGACCCACCAGCCGTCCAAGAGCTTATGAATGACCTCGATGGTTTCGCCCTCCTGGAGGGATATCTCGTCTTCCTCTACAGCAGTGTAGGCTTTGATGGTGACGTAGGGCTCACCTGGTCCACAGTGGAGGGGGGGCGGGGAGGGAGGAGCATGGTGTGAGGATCTGCCCTGCACAGGACTCATCACCCCTCCTCTCCTCTCTGGGTCTGGGGCTTCCTCCAGCTGGTCCTTCTTGGTCTCCTGCAGGCTCCTCCCAGCCCCAATGGGGACATCCTGGAGTTCTGCCCTCTTTACCCTAGACCCACCATCCACACCAGGGGCCAGGAGCTCCCAGGATTTCAGAGCCCTGGTCAGCCACGGACGCAGAGGAATGGATCTGCCGGAAGTTCAGACTGCAGCGCCGCCTACAGGGCACCTGAACCACTCAACTCCGGCCAGCTGTAGGCATGTGGGGCTGCAGTCCCCGCATACACACCTTTTCCAGTTTTAAAGAGGAAGCATAAATCCACATAAAATTGTGAAATCTCTCCGTTTTAAAATACGGGTAACCAATTCTAACTGTTGACAACCTCCACAAGGGCTCCAAACAGCCCAGGAGCTGCCAATTTTCCCTTCCAGTCAGCATGATACCCCCTCCTCCAGGCAGCCCTCTTTCCTGAGCCTCAGGTCTGCTCACCATTCAGCTTCCCACTGCACTGGACCTGGCCCTAGCCAACTGCCACCCAGGATTTCAGGCTGACCTCATCACCCCCACCTCTATTCCTCCTCCTGGTTCCCTGCCCTGACCACTGCCTACCAGAACCCCCAAGCCAAACTGTGGGGTCTCAGCCCTGACTCCCCCTCTGCCCAGCCCCCATTATATCCAACCCCAAAGGAGTCACTTCTGGCTTCTCAATATGCCCCTGCCCCTGCCCCCCTTCCTCCCACACCCTATGGCCATGGAGGACAGGGGGCACCTGCGTAGTTGGGCTCTGGGTCCTCTGTCTCATCAGGACTGTCCAGGGGCTCCAAGTAGGAAGCTGGGACCCAGCCTCGCTTGGTCTTCATTTGGCAGAACCACCAGCCTGTGCCGGGGTGTGAGACAATAAGTCAGGTTGGGCCTGGCAGCCTCCCTCAGCCATCTGGGTGCTGAGGACACTTGGACAGACACACAAACATCCAACACACGGATTCAGAAATGTCACCTTCGCCACACCACACACCAAAATCACCCCCACCCCCACACGCAGGGTCACAGAATCACAGCGTGGGACCCACTTCACACACGCGATGAGGAGTTGGCCTGCCCCCCGGGAATTGACCCTCAGAGATGCACAGTGAAGCCTGCAATATGTGCAGATACCATGGCCGCCCCAGGGTGCACGCTCAGAGAGAGGGTGACCCGCAGCATGGGGGGGACAGTCAGAGCCCCAGGGCCAGGCAGGGAGGAGGCCCAAGGCTGCCTGGAGGGCAGAGCC